AAAAACCTCAGGAAGGAATCTACTCGCTTTATCTAAAAGTGTTTCAATTATTTTACACCCCTCCTTGGGATCATAATTTTCACGAATGCTGAGGGTCTTGAAAGGTTATAGTTAGTATTGGTTTAACAAATGAGTACATACTAAATGTTTTAGCACATCAGAAGCAAACTTTCAGCCCCAGAACTTTAAAGATTGTTTAAACGTTTTATTTCAAAGAAAGAACCAGACTTACTGAGCGGGTCACATCACATATCACTGTATCAAAGCTTTTTAATTTAATGACTTTCTTCCAGCAATATATTTATTCTGCCAATATTTAAACTATTCTGCTAATACGACTTGGTTCTCGTAGTATTATGATTGGATTCTTGTATTCAAAAATATAAATTTCTTAGCCTGGCCATAACTCTGTCATACTTGCTTTACTGACCTCTGCTGCTGTTTCTCTCTTCACTGTCAGACTTCTCCATCTCTGCTCTATGACAGTAGCTATATTTCAAAACATCCATGCTTAGAGCCATTTTTTCCCCCACTGTTGATTAAATTGAACACTGCTGCCACTTAGTGACGGGAGGCTTGTTTATCAGTTATGCATGAATGAAGACAGTCCTGCTTCTCACAACTACCCCCAACCCCGACCCCTCGCCACGCCCCCCTGGGGGACGCGCCCCACCATTTGAGAAGCACTGCGCTAAGAGAAAGACAGAGTTAAACACAGGTCTCAAGGCTATAGAAAGAAAATGTGGAGTTATTTGCAGCAGTAATTCCCATTAAGAAATAGAAAGGACATAGCTTCAATGAAGAGAGAAAGTAAAACTTAACTCCAATATCCTGGTCAGCCAATCAGTCTGATTTTAATGAACTACAACACAACAGACTCCTGCTATGAACCCCTCAGTATGTCCTCTGGCAACTTTAGCAAATTTTCACTGACACATAAAGAGTTTGTCCTCATTTATGTGGGTCATTTCAAACATTCCCAAGAGTGTAAACTGTCACTAGTTACATGTCTGAATAAATAAAAGATATGCGCTCAAAGGTTGAGCTGAACTGACTGCAGCTAACATTTTGTCAAGGCAGGTTCTTCCAAGACCAAGATCAGAACTTGTCTTATTTGCCGAAGGTTGGGGTTGAAAACTGTATAGTGTTGGTCCCATGTATCTATGACTTGTAGTTTGGGAGACTGTGTGGTTTGGAGAGTGTCCCTTGACAGGAGGAGCAGATAATTGGACTCTTTGATAAATCTTGGCACATAAATGCCAGAATAAAGACATCTCCATAAGAACTTCATTACCTTCCATCATTCTCAACATGTTACTGATTTTATTTTGGTTTCCTGCTAAAAAATTAAGACAGGTCAGGTGGATTACTGGATGAGCAGAAATGTGATACTGGGAATGTTGCATTGCTGTTCCTGAAGTTTAAAACTCATAGGGATCAAAACATTGTGTTGTCTGACACTCTTATTAAGCTTGAGGCTTTGCCATGTGGCCCCTGCTTGTTCTAGTTGAATTTCTGGAACTGATGCTTGAGTTTGGAAGATGCAGACACTGAAGAAGCATGCCCGTGCCTGTCTGGATAAGAACAGATACGTGTCAGCAGTGCAACATCATTTCACTTCAGGCCATCTCCACTCTTCTACCAGAGACAAATTAATAGGCTTTGGAAGTACTCAGAAGAATTACTGCATGGGTGTTGTGTCTTCGACTCATCCCTGATGTGGTGCCTGGCAGAGGTTTTAGACAGTGCATGTCGCGTCATTGTGAAAGTCTCCATGTTGGCGGGTGGTCCAGCAGAGATTTGGCCCATTTCTCTCTCATCACATCAACTTTTAGAAACTTCAGAAGAAATTTAATTAGTTTCCATATAACTGGTCCTTTGCCTTAGATCTTATCGTCTGAGCAATGCCAAATGTTTGGTTTACAGGAAGACATGCAGAAAATACAATATTGTGACTTTTTAAGTGCTTATGCAGAAGGCAACTAGACTTCTCTTCCTTCTGTAAGTCATTTCCCTCTCATCCAAAAGGTTCATTCAGTTCTGAATGTGACTGGAAGTAAGTCTTAGAGGTTTTAGTGAGAACAATCCCACCAATGATAAAAATAACAAACCACACTCCCTAATACGCACATCCATACCGATACAGATCAATACATAAAGTGAAGACACTTTACCTGGACAAGGGCCACATAAAAATATGGATGGGAAAGCTAGAATCTACCCACAACCTTCTGACTGCAAGACCAATACCCAGCAAACTACAATCGCCTAATGGGGCAATTAGGACACAAGTCACTGGCCTTACTGTCTCTTCAGCTCAATCTGTTGGGTTGTGGTTGCATGACAATCCAAACATGTCCATAATGATGCCATGCAACTTTTATTATTCCACATATCTCAAGCTGTGAATTGCTGAAGAACCAGCTGTGGAGACGAGTCAAAGCTCCAGATAAGGCTTTAGAAAGACAAAATCCTGTTCACTGTTTTATGTTGAACATACATGGTCTTTCATACTCCATTCTCAAATCACCTGTGTTCCCTTGTAAAATGTGGTAATTTCTGTCTTCCGCTGAGAGTTCTAGCACCTTAATATATAAATGAACCACTGCTTTTCTTGGCCCAAGAAGTTTGCTCTCGCGTGTTATGCAATCTGTTTGTGCTGCAAGAACAGCACAGATGGATATATAATAGTTGATGTACAGCTTAAGATTCCTCAATACATAGGACTGCATAAACAACAAAGCTGAGCTTTTGTTTGAGTGTTTTATTCTTGGGATCTACCAGTATTGGAGTTGTTTGCTTCAAAATGTACCCAAAAATTTGAAATTGCTCATGGTCTTTAACCAAAGACATAAGAGAAATCCTTCAACCATTAAAATCCAAAACCACTCCATTTTTGTTTACATTTTGTGAAGAAAGGCAGATAAGCTAAGTGACTTTTTCAGAAGTTTTTGTGTTGTTTCCTTCAGTGGTTCTTGGTGCAGCTCCACCACAAAGAGGGGGTGGGGATAACAAGTTGCTCAAAGGATTTGGTTGGTCTGGAAGTGCAGCGTGAAAGAGCCACAGCAGATGAAAATGGAACAAATGTTACAATTTTGGTCGGCAATTAAACCAAGTCTACAGGACTACCAAGTGGGTAAACACCTTCTGTTTCTTTGGAGCTGGATTCAAAATTTCAAGGATCACAGCACATAGACGTATCCAGGACGTTTGCCACAACTGTCACATTCCTTGTTTCAAGGCACTACTGGACCACAGACTACATCAGAAGCATTTTTCCTGGGCTTAGAAGAAAAAATACTGGTCCGTTGCTCAGTGGTGTTATTAACACCCAACCAGCTGCTTCGATGCTGTGATTCATGCAAAAGGAGCCCAGACAAGTACTGGGAGCCGATACTGTGGATGAACCTCTCAGCAGGCACCACGTTTTTGTATTAAAAATGTTGTTTTTTAGAATTTAATTATTGAGGCGTATCGGGATAAATGTCACTTTGTCCAGATTTTACAGAGATGTCTGATGAGAAAAACAAAACAGGGAAACTGTACCCACTCTAAAATCTGTAATCTGACTTTAGGACTAGGCCGTATGGCAAGGGAGCTAAAAAAAACATAAAATTCTAGGTTTCGCGTTGACGTTGGGAAGGCTTGAGTCGTTTGTCAGGTTGGCACTTAAGCGCAGATAGACACACAGCACATAACTCCATGTCAGCAGTGGAAGTGTTTGTTTTGGATACTGTCCGTGTTTAATAGATGTGTCCAGCAGCCAGACTTTCTTCACAGTGACACATGACATGTGTTTGGCTGTGGCCCAATAAGTTTTGTTTTTGAAATTTCGTCAGTAAGAAGAGATGTGCTGATAGAAGCAACGCTGGTGTGTCCTTACACCAGCTGAAACTTAACTCCTCTAATAAAACCTGCCCATGTTTACAGGTGTAACCTCCAGACAATGGGAATATAAAGGCATCACTGGTATGCATACTGGAGCTGCTGGCAGAGTGGATGGACTCCGTCGTAACTCAGACTACAGGGTGGAAACCATGCAGGAATCTGAAGTCTGTAAACTGGCAGAGAAGGATGGCGGTGGTATACGGTTTAAGGGCAGCGCCCAGAGGAATCCAACAGTGACGGTCAGGAGAAGAATGCTGAGGTTGGTGCCAGGGAGCCTCAGTGGCGGCAAGTTTCCACACCGCAAGTCTGTGCAGGGATATCCGTGTGGATCAGGGTGACCTCGCCGTGACCTGCTTACTGATCATACATTGAACATTCAGTGGTATAATTAAGTCAGAAGGTCTGGTTTTTGCTTCTTCTGCTGAAAAGTTTCTATTTTCAGCTTGTTTGGACCTAGCTGACTGGGAACATCCATCTTTCTTCACACTCTGTGTTGATTAATAGTCATGATGGAGGTATTGAATCCTTCCCATTGTTCCAGCTGACAGCTCTCTTGTTGGAGCAACGTTTGCTGTCAGTCAGCAGCTGCAGCAGCTCAGTAAGGTTGGGGACCTCTCTTTAAACTGCGCACTTGTTTGCAGAATCACACTAATGCAAATTTGTTCCAAGAATGAAAATCTGAGGAAGATTTCCCTTTTCTTTCTTGATCATTGGCCGATTGTTATTTTTCCTCCACTTACTCTGAAACAGCATTTATTGGTGATTGAAAATCCAGTCTTATTTCCATCACTATATCAGAGAACAAGCAGATCCCAGTAACAACAACATTAGCTTGTTTCCACTAAAAGAACTTTCATTCTTGAATCACTTCAATTTGGGTGCCTTCAAACGTTTGTGCTTTGTTGAGAGGTGATGCCTGTTTCCAACAGTTTGGGGAACCAAGGACAGAGGGCGTTACACACAATGTGGTAGGAGAGCGTAGCAGAAAGATGGCGGAGCCGACTGAGCTCTGAATGGAATTGTTTATTTACATATTTAAACGTATTTCGAATAATGTATAAAAATTGGGGACAATTAATCTATTCAATGGTTGATTACCAAAATAAGTCAGTTGCAGCCCCAAAACAAGTAATGAAATTAATTTATGAACTTCACATAGATTATATTGGACCGAAAGTGAGTTCAGAGAGCTTCGGAGGTTTATTTCCATGAAACGCAGATCTTCCATTCATCTCCACCTTCCCTCCCAGGACTTACTCTTCGGCTAATGCCTCAATGATCTCCTCCGTCTTGTTTGGTTTATGGATGAGGAGTTTGTTTCCATGCTGGCTCACAGTTGTCCAACAGAGTCTCGTTCATGACCTCCTGCTTGGTTCTCTGCAGCTGCAGTCGTAGGAGTGATGCTGTGGAAGACAAAGACTTCAAGTAGGAGCGGATGTCCGACTTTCCTGATGGACAAACTGTTATCATGCAGTTTTTCCACAGATTTTAAGGACATTCTCACATGCTGGTGGAGTTTGCAACGATTATGATGTTTATGAGGATTCAACATGTGGCTGGAATACAAAAGAACTTGGACCGAAGTTCCAGGTTTTTGCCTCACTGTGGTTTTATCTGGTATCCAGCAGGCAGATTATATTACTAAACCTGCAGAAAAAAGGTGTAATTACAAGATAATTAGATGTATCATATCCTGACCATCCCACTGTGATGAGAGTTGAACCAGAGTGCAAACAGTTACGCAAGCTTTTTTGCCTCTTTTTACAACATTAATCATCTAATTGGAATAATGGTAACTTAAAACGACAAAATGTTTTCATGTGCTAGTGATGCAGAACCAAAGCAGGACAGTCGTCCTTCCATCCCTGAGAACGCCCTTGGACTCACACTGACGCTGTCCTTTTGGGACTTGGTTACCTCAGTGAAAGAGGTTAAAGTAACAGAAACTCAGTAATAAAAACATCCCACAGAGTCATTTTCAGCTCCTGTTCTATGGCTGAATTACCTGGAGATTTCCCTTTGTGATTTCAGCCGTTTCCTGCACAAAGATACTTATGCAACACACCCATGTTCACATAATGTTCTTCTGCTAGATTGCAGTATCATTGCTGTGCAATCTTCAATTACTAAATTCCCACAATGGACATAGAAATGAGTTTAAGGGAATATTTTTGCTTTCTTGCAGAAATATTCAATCTTGAATGAATATTTTATGAATACTTCTTGGATGAATATCAAGTCAAGCACTTGATATCAGACTTGACTACGATATCAAGCAGTCAAGTTTTCCTGTCCTCATGTTTTCCAGGCCTTTGATTGATTGGCATGGCAACACAATAGCACCAAGGAGGATATATTTATGACAAAGTTTACATCTTGTGTGTGATTTTATACAAGGAGTATAATTGAAGGAAGAGAAATTACTTTAACACTTGACAGACCGACAGCCTGAGCAGGGATTTAAAAGGTCTGTTGATCCCTGTGTGCCAATTGGACTTCTGATTCACAAACACAATATTTTTGGCAGCTTTCAGAAAGATAGGCCTGAAAAAGACATTTATAGCCAAGTAAGATATGCAATGGAAAGACGTCACATTATATACATGCAATCTGTCGTTCATTTGGCTCAGACAACCGAGAAAGGACTAGACAATGGTGCAGAAAATGTATCTTCGGAGGAAAAAAATTCTGATTTGTTTCATATTCTCTTTCACAAACCCGTTTCTTTCCTTAGCTGAAGAAACGTTGAAAGTCCAAGCTCTCCCTTTTCCCCCATTAGTTTATGTCTTTGTTGACAAAATCTGGTTTCTGCAGTGAAAGTAAAACAAAATGGAGTCTGGTGGTCTCTGAAGAGACGTACCTCCAGAGCAGTGCCATTTGGATGAAACAGCCATGAAAACTGTGACTTTTAGAACCGACACAACTATTCTGGCACAGAGAAGCGATCCTACATGTCTGACAAAATACAGCCTATTTCTGAGTATTGATTCACTTATCTAAACTTAACCCTACTCAGACAAATTTAGTTATACAGGTATTTCACTTTTCCAGTATTTCTGATTGCAAGATTTCTATAACAATGTATAAATAATAAATTACAGCACAAATACTTATCATGTAATGTTACATCATGAGATTGGTGGCATCTTTTTCCAACATAAATCAAGAGTGCGGAAAAGTCCTGTTTTGAACTTCCATAATCTTGACATTTGGAATATTCAGCTAAGATTTAGGAGACAGAAAGCCAGCTGCTGGTAAACCAGCAGAACTGTTTAGTCATGTTTATGAAAAAAGAAGAAGAGAATCCAATCAAAATCCCACAGCACAACAGACAGGACTCCAAACAGAGTCTGAAGTTGGCTACATGCCATGTGGCGTTCTTATTTCACTCAGCTGCAGGACAGGGATGACTGTTAAACCTGGAAACAAATCCCCATTAATGACGCACAAGAAGAGGTGTGTGGGTGAGGGACGAAAAGTCAAAGCTGGAAGAGTTCAAACAAGAGCTGGTGCAGCGGAAGAAAGTGTAGCTGAGACAATAAAAGGGTGAGTGGTGGAAGAATAAAAGGTTTTGGCCTGGAAACTCCAGCTTCCCTGCAAATCTTTAGTTTGGCCTCTTTGTGTGAGATGACTTCACGCAGCGCACCTGAATACACAGATTTACACACAAGTTTGGCTGCAGCTTCTGAAGCCGAGTCTCTGAGATCACGCACAGCTGCTGGGAATCAGCAGAACTCCCTGCGAAAAAAGGCCTCGAAACGCCAAATCGCTGTGTGATTCCTCGTCTCTACACGCTCTACTGCATTTCTCTGCTTTGATTTTACTGTAACAGATAACATTTCATTCAGATTACACCCTGAATCTTTTTCCACAAGAACTTACCTACAGAAAGCTTCACTTCGTTTTTAATATATCAAGTTTAAATTAATTTGACCAACAGTCTACAACAGATGAAGAAAGATGAATCTTTGTGTTTAGCAAGAGTAAAACAGATTTTTTTAACAGCACTAACAATCTAAAGAAGCATAAGCTTTCCCAAGCTAATGAACACAACTCCTTCCGTGACAGACTGTTGCATCATGGGAGCACAAAGGGGCGTTATCCCAGATCCTTCCATAGACATAAGTGGCTCTTTGGACCTTCCACAATGGTTCTTAATAATTATGGCTAAACGAGGATAAAGACCCAATTAATGTTTTTAACTATAAATATAGAAAAATTAAGGTTTTAGCTGTTTAAATGTTTTTTAAAAGAAATAATTACCTTAAATAACCACAACAATCATATTTATACTGAAAGATGCTAAAAGTACCTGCAATATTTAAGACCCAGTTTTGTTGAAAATATTGTTTTCATTGTTTTAAAATAAAGAAAAAAACATGTGGTTCCTGAAATTTCACATTTCCTAGGTTACTAACTGTGTCTTCTTTGAAAAGGTCAGGTAACATTTGTGGCTCCCACTGAGTCCAACTGAGTTTTAGTTAAGTGGACAGAGGACAAAAATGGTTCATTGGATTGTAAAAGTTGAAGACCCCTGCTCTAGAACAATTACTTACAGAACAAACTCAATGAAGTGTTTACATTCCTGTTGTTTTGCAAATTATCCATATTCCTATAAATTGCACGTTTATTAGAACCTGAGACTAGCTACTACTCATAATGCTACAGAAGCCAACTTCAATTTGTTCTTCCAAAGACACCAGAGCTAGATTTTATGCAGGAGAGCTAAATTATTAGCTACCTACACAATATATGGTTCAACCAAAACCACATATTGATTTTCTAACCTCAAATTAGAAAAAAAGATGTTTGGCTGAATTAGTGTAGCTGCTCAGAAAACTCACATTATGAGCCATAGGACTTAATGTTGCTGGTTTCTCCTAAATCAACCACATCTGAACCTTTAAGACATGAGTGTAGCAATTATTACCCGAAAGAAAAAACATTTACTGGCATATTACACTGTTTATTATTAGAAATGAAATACTTAGAAATATTTAGTTTGTAGTGCTTAGTTGGCTGTACTAACTAAGTGCAGCCACCTAAACTGCACTGGAGTTATACCTCCAAAATAACTCATTGGAGTTATTTTGATGTGTAATTGTACTCACAGTTTCCTCAGGAGATCTCATCCGTCATATCCAGTCAGTTTCAAACCTTAATGTCCAGGTAGATGAGCTTTAAGGTTCTGGTTCTGGTTCTCTAGCCTCGACTGGAAATAACTTGGGCCTCAGGGTTAGCAGAGACAGCTTGAGTGACGTCTCTTCAAAGCCCTATGTTAGATTTTACACAAATCCCAAATTAGTTCACAAAACAAATAACAAAAAGACAAGTAACATGACCCTTTCAGAAACTGCTTGCCTCTGACACACTGAAGCTAACAAAATAGTAAAAATGGACATCGCCTTCCTAACATCCACAGGCTCCATTAAACGCAAGTGACAGCACTAAACAATTTTCTTAATCTAATTTACAACAAATTACATCAGAGGTCCGACCATTAAAACAAGTTACTAACAGTTAAAACAAAAACTCACACTATGAAACTCTTTAACGAAGCGCCGCCATTCTTCCTTTCCGTTTCTTCACGTATCGAACTTACTCAAGGTTCCGCCCTGTCAAAACTTAGTCTATCCTGATTGGTCAACTGTTACTGACAGACGCCAGTTCGTCCAATAATATTACAGAAAAAAAATATCGGTCATGCGAAGTCTAAGGTACGTTCAAAATAGAGAAAATTACAGATATGACGTTTTCAGACGTGTCTATTTTATTACACATACATATATACACCCGAGGTCGTGGACATAAATACGCCTGAAGTAGTTCCCTACTTGTTGAGTGTCCAAATTTAGCTTCCTTCCGGAAATGGGCGGCCTTTATTTCCGCTTCTGAAAAGAAGCTGATATAATGGAGCTTAATATCTTGCTGAACTTTTTTTTTTATTAATTTAGCATTGTAGATGAATTAATTTAACTAATTAAATTAAGAAATTATTTCAAAAATGTTTTAATAATTATGGCTAATTATGATACTTTGTTGTCCATTCGTACAATAACTAAATTACCTATCATCAAGAGTTATGAGTTTCTGTTCTTGATTACCAATTAATATCTGTGATGCTATCCAGGTCTGCGAGAGCCACCATTATGACTGGGTTCTCATGTGCTTACTTCACCCAACGATCTTCTGATTAGTTTTCATGTATTTTTTTATTTTATTTTATTTTTTTTTTTTTTTTTTTTTTTTTTTTGCTTATATTTTGTCTTTTTCCAGCCTGAACAGCTTCAGAGATGATTCAGTTCATGTAGTTTATGCAACAAAACAATAATTTCACAACAAATGTTATCTCAAGGTACTTTACACGACAAGCCAATCAAGTTTATGTGCAGAAATCAATCAAATCATTGATTCAGATTCAATCACATACATCTCAGTTTGACTCGTAAAACAATGCACTGAAATTAATTTTATTGCACTGATTGCTACAAAGGTTCTTGTGTGTTGCATGAAGTCGCAGACTTTGCAGCAACTACTGCTCTAGGACAAGCATGTGTTGTCAACTTGGCAGCAATCCGAGCATGCAGGTGGTGACAGTAGAAAGGCAAACTCCATCTGAACCATAATTCTAGTGTGAGCTCAGCAGGAAATGAACAGTGATCTAGACTTTGTCCCTTTAAAAAACGTATGTAAGAGCTAACTTCCTCAGTTCATGTGAGATGTTATGGATGCATAACACTATCATCAACATATTTATTGCTAAACATGAAATGTAACAGAAATTAAATGGGAATAACATGTGCAAAGTGTTTCCACGCCAAAGGTTTAGCGCAATCCCAACCACAACCTGGCTTTTGGTCAGGATTTCTTGACCTGAACTTTGGTTCTGATTCCTGCAGAATCAGTGAGTGGAGGAAGCAACAGAGAATCCATACAGAGAACTACAGAAGATCGTTAAAGCCAGGCATGATAAAAAGCTCTCTGCTCTGGCTCTCTGCAGGTGGATGAATCCTCTTCTTCTTTACCTCCTCGGAGTCCCAGCATCCTACACCAATCACTTCTTGGATGTGTAAAATCCTGAAGCCATTCATTAAAACTACTAGTGCCTCGTTCATAAACAAACCCCGTTTCCCTCCCCTCGGCCGGACGTTTTCCACTGCCGAGATGGACGGTTGGATGGTTATAATGAGAGTTCCAGCGTCCAGCTATTTTTAAGGCAGGAGACAGACTGTTATTGAGCAGGAGGTAGCGAGGCCTTTGGGGACGGAGGATTATTCCATGGACCTGCAGGCTGCAGACTTTATGGGTCTGAAAATATCTGTCCTGCCACGCTCCTCCCGAGGCAATCACAAACTGCAGCCATCCAGAAACGAATGTGGGATCTGCTGAAACTGTCATTTCCACCCAATATCAACCCAAGTTCAGGTCAGAATCTTTGCTTTTCAATATGCAGCAGTTCTTTATAGGAGCTGCTGAATCTTTATCAGTCCATATCTCTAACAGTTCAGCTTCTTATTCCTCTCCAGTAGAGACAAGTAGTCTCTACAGTGGTAGAGAATAATGGGGGTCCTTAAATAAACAAATAAATACATTTATAGCAGCAGACGATAAAAGTCCCAAACGTAACCTGACCTGGATTCATATGGGCCAGTAAAGCAATGCTGACTACTTTATTGTAAAAATTTGTATCAAATGTTCAGTTTCTGGCTGTACGGTGGAGCAGTTGGTAGCATTGCTGCCCTGTAGCCAGAAGGTTCAAATCCGACCCTGAGGTCTTTCTGCGTGGAGCTCCCACATGCTCTGGGGTACAACACATACTCCAGACACACTCAATGCAGACATCCTTCAGATTCTCAACAGAACATTTTAAATCACATTGAACTGTTTTGTATCCGACACCAAGCCAATAAAGTGGAGAGTCAGCACAACTTTTTGCCTGACTCACTTGCTAGTATGAAGGAATTTCTCACAAAAATTGTTGGCAATTAGCAGGTATGATGGGTTATGAAATCTCAACCGTCCGAGGACAGTGTGCGCACAGTCCGCACAACGTGTCCAGTTTGCCTGAGCGTGTGCTGTCCTGGCAACCACTCCAGTGTTTAATCCAGCTTTTGACTGATGACCATTGGTACCAGACTCATGTGACCCTTCAAGGACAAGCAGGTAAAGACGATGGATGAATGATCAGTTTTGTCACCAGTCAGTTTGGTCCTCAGTAAGAAAAGATACAACAAAAGTTGGAGTTGAAACTTCGTAGTGTGAACCTGTAACTATTTTATAGATCCCTGTTCCTCTCACCTAATCCAGGAAAGGAAAACAGACGGTCAAGTTAGTGCTTTAGCTTTGTGACTTTAGTTGGGCTGGAAAATCCACAGATCTGGATTGTTGAAGTTGAGTTGGAGTGATTTACTGAACTTTGACTGGATCCGGGTGATCTCTCGGGTGTTTGTTCTTTCATTCTTCCAGCAGAGTTTGTTGCTCTTGCTCTGAATAGGTGGCATGTTCCTGTAAAGCTTGGCCTACCTTCTTGGAAGTCCTTCTCGTCTTCAGCAGATCCTGGTTTCTCTGGTTTCTGAGGCTGTCTGGATGAAACTGATGCAGGCTGCAGCTCTTCTTTCTGCTCCTCGTTTATAGGAGCCAGTCTGTGGATCAGATAGATGGCTTGACTTCAGCCGGACTATCTCACACCTTCACTGTGCATTAATCATGTGACTGTGCTGAAATTTGCTGATAGTTTGGGAAAAACACAGTAAAAGTCTCCTTTTGTTATCAAGGTTTTGACTTTAGCCTCTTTCTAAGGAGATAATCTCCATCTCATCATGCTGCACAAAAATGTACAAAGTTTTCAAAGCACAACATCTGTGTGGTGTGTTGGTGACAGACAAAGGCCATGACCTAGACGGGATAACTCAAAGGGTTTCTTCTAAAGTTCCATCACTGCAGCTGTATAATGCCTCCTTTCTTTGCCCTTCCTTTTGGCATTTTAAATCCTTCAATAAAAACGATGACCGCCTGATTCTGGCCGGACTCATGTGTGCTTTGGCACAACCAAACACACCAGTGGACCACAGAGTAATAGTAATAAAAAAAATCACATCCTGATGAGTCATGTGTGCATTTTGTGCTGGAAGAGGAAACAAATAAACCAAAGCAGAGTCAGGATCCATCCTTCACCCTTTACTCAATCTGCTGGACTCAGCAACAGGTCCTTTGGTTTGTTTGATTCCTCCTGTAAACAACATGACGGTACAGTTACACATCCGGACTATTACCTTGGAAGGTAATCAGCAGGCTGATTAGAGAGGCGTTCGCTGGGTTTGTATATGGAGCAGATAATGGAAACAAACCAGGGTCGACCCGTTGACCCTGAGATCTGTTTGGCATTTAAAGTTACAACCAGTGAAATCCAGCTGAAGAATGTTCCGATACAGCAGCAGAGCAAAGGAACAATGTCATCCAATTTATTGCAGTGACTTAATTCAAAAAGTGAAACTTTTTGTCACAGACTGGTAGATTTAGCTTGGTGAATTAAACCTCAAAAACAAACAAAACCAGCATGGAGACCCACCGGTGGTTCTGTTGAGGAAACCCAGGTTGCTTTGACCATCAGCTCACCTGCAGTATTGGTTCTGTTTTTCCTTTTCACAACAGCCAATAGATTCTCTGTTTACAGGTGTTACCATGGTGACTGAAGCAGGTATAAATACTTTAGGCAAAGCGGGCCGGTACCATGTCATGCTTAAAGGTGAACCTCCAGGTTTTCCTCTGGGCGTCGACCTCGTCCTGCTCCAGATCCAACATGCTAACAACAGAGCTAATTTTTTGTTTAGCAACTTAGCATGTTTGCTAACTTTGAAATGTTTACCACATTTAGCTTTCATCGTTATAATTTCATCATGGATGTTAATTATAACGTCAAAAACAAACCGATGCCAAAGCGTTGCAGTCTTTCAAGGGCAGACACCATTTGAATTGATGTTAGCGCTTTAGCGTTAGCTTCTGTTAAATACTGTGTTGAGTTTTAGCATTAGTAAGCACATATAACTATTTAGTTAGCTGTTCCCATTACTGTAAAAAACCAAAACTGTAACAGAAAATTTAACTTATGTTCATTAAATATTTGTATTTCCTCCTTCCCTTTTTTACGTTTACACCGTGAACATCATGATAAATGGTCCGCCTGCAGTAAAACTCCCATCAGACAGACGTAACTTCTCCTGCATGTGTGCAACAGATCTGGCTTGATGCTCAGAGCCGAGCTGATGGAGACCCTTACATCACCTGGAAGTGAGTTTTGATGAAGCTGTTTAACGATTTCATAATTTCATAAACAGACAAGATAATCCTTTGCAGCGCGAGGCAATCAGCCACAGCAGACCGGCGAGCAAGAGGAATGTCAGACAAACACAGGTGGTTTCCACCCGAGCTTCCAGCTGCTGCTGCTGCTGCTGCTGCTGCTCAGCTTTCAGCACCAAAACCTCTCTGCGATCAGGACATGTGATTATTTTATGAGATGGGATTATTTTTGGTGTGAGGCGATAAAGTTTCAGCAAAAAAATCCATGAAATTTCTCTCTTCTTTGTTGGAAACAGCACTGCACTGATGATT